TCCACTAGACCTATCACATGGCAATACATATATATATATACATATATTCAAATAACATATGTATAAAAAAAAGGAACAGCAAGTAGGAACTGGATTCAAAGATAATCAATCAAAAAATTAACCATGTCTGACAGTTTTACTTAAAGGCCCAAATCTCAAGAATCTGTAATTTGCATAAATTTTTATTTTAATTTTCTAAACTTTATGGTCAGTGTTTCTTGAATTTAAAAAAAAATGATTTTTTAAAATTCAGTTAAATGTTAATTTGAATAAAATCATTAAAGTCATTACAATTTTTAATTAAAATGTAAATGTACTATGTATAAATAAATAATTCTGCAGTTATTCATTTGTTTTATCTAATAGCTTTTAAAAAATTTCATCAAATATCTCTAAATTTGAAAGTGATTTTCAGAGGTTATCACTCCTGGACCCACATTTTCCTGGAAAGCTAGAGCTTTCTTATAATATACAAAAAAGGAATTGCTGTTTCTATTTCTTGCTCCTCTATACCTTCACTCTCACAAAAACTGATGCTTAAGCAACTGACACAGTGTCAAAAAATAAAACAATATTTCTAATCAATAAACTGAAGAAGTCTCTCTTAATTGAATGTTACATAAATATTTTCAAAGCTTTTAAGCATAAGGGTGTGACTATACAGACACAAGCAGCAAATTTTCCAAGCGAGCGAGAATATGTGGCAAGAAGAGATGATGACGTTTCACGCTCTTTGTTTCTCACTCTCATCTATGTGTGAGGCCTCAACTGACATTACATACCTACTGTGAATCGATGTAGGTGGCCCTTTTCATAATCACGACCACCTTGCTTTTATCAGCTTTGACCAACAATTGGCTCAGATTCCAAGACATTGGTGAAGGCTGATAAAAGCAAGGCTCTCATCTGTGTGGTCATAATAAATGAGAGCAAGAAACAAAGAGTGTGAAACGTCATCACTTCTTCTCGCCACATATTCTTGCTTGCTTGCATCTGCATAGTTGCACCTTTATTCTCAAATGCAACATTTGAACTTTTGTTTCAAAGAAACCTAAACTATTTTCCAGATTTTGTATTAATCTTTCTTTTTCTAAATAAAATAAACTAGCTTAAATCTTTATAATTTCTAGTTATAATTTACTTTCATACAGAAGTTTCTTTTCTATCTCTGTTCTTTTATTCAGACTAGTTCTAATAAACATTATGAGTATGACTGCTACTATGATATGATTCTATATAACTTCATGAAAAATTAACATCAATCCAATCTTGATAAAAGAAACTGTTAAGACGTACAATACATATCAAAAAATGAAAGTACACAGTATACAATATTCCGCAAAAGCTGTTATTTATAATTTTTTTATGGATGAATACTATTATTGATTTTATTCAGTGTGTACTCAAATTGGATTTGTGGGTTTCAGAAAAGTATTGAAACATATCACTGAACATTAAATTTATACTAGATTATAATTTATAAAAACTATTTTATTTATTTATATCAGTTTCTAATCTATCTCCATACATTACATTGAATTTTCCAGTTATATTGGCATCAACTTGTGGTAAGACATAACATCTTCGCACTGCAAGCTGCATTAAAAAGAAAAATTTAAACATATGACACACATTATGCAATACATATTATATAGCATTAAATTGTTTGAATAATTTTTTTAAATATTATCTAGAAAACTATTTTTATATAAAATAAGCCATATTATGGACAAAATAAAGTTTTGTTATGACTGCCAAATTTAAGTTATATTTCTGGAAGCCTATTCATAAAGGGTATTGTTAACAATTGTTTGGAAAATCTCTCTCCATGGAATATTTCCTAATTTAACTTTCTGCTTCCTTTTTAAGAAAATGTTTGATGATTTAAATTTCAGCAGATTTTTATTTTACTTTTTTGCAATTATATTACACAACTGATGTAAACTTATTTATCACAATTGCTTTGTAAATTTATAAAGATGTTAGTTGGAGGTCTTTTGTAGACTATAGTTTAATCAATTCTTACATTTATTGTCCAACTAGCAGATAAAAAGATAAACATTTTCTATTTCTAGTCATTCATTACTGTTCAAAGAATCAATTTTTATATCATTATTATTTAAAGTAATTTTAGACAAGAGAAAACATAAAAGTGATTTCAAATGTAAAAATTGTTTACAAAAATTATGAATTACAAAGGTCATTCAAACGGAAACCAGAAAATATGTATAGAATTTACACTACTAAAGTATTTGTACTGATTTTCTACATTCAAGAAATTTGGCTCTATTGGCAACATTTTAAAACACTATAAAGCTATCTCATGATAACTGCAGAAGTTACTAGTTAATGATGTCTAATTCGATAACTAATTCTCTTGTAGTTGTGCATCACATAATTTACATGATTGTCAATTAGGCTTCTTCATGAAGAATATGTAAAACCCATTGAAATCTACAGACTAATATTGAACATGTATAGTGAATCATATTTAATCAAAACACATGTATGAATGAAATGAGAAATCTAAAAAGGGATGCAAAATGTTAAAAATTTGCATGGCCTGAAAAGGCACAGCATGTCATAATGGTGGAAATGAGTACTATCATAAGTGATCTCATGTAGAATTGAGGCATTATAATTAATCGAATTGTCACACAGATGAAAATGTCAGTTCTGCACATACAACTATTACAGAAAAATCTGAGGTGATTTCTAAGCATTTAACAGTAGAAACAAGTAAATGACATCAGAATACAAGTTTTTCACATCTTGTATGGTATACAAAAGAACAGGCTTTTTTTCATTGGATGCTTACTGGAGATGAGAGCTTTATGCATTTCTTCACATTGTGGAAAGCAAATGCACTATGAACAGAATCTGACAATGTTCATTTAGGATCAAAATGACTACAACTGTTTATATTCTGTAATTATTTTTAATTACTTGTTATATATATATTTGTATGGAAACACTTCATAAATATAAATTTACTAGCTGTTACCACAACTTTGCCATGTGGATTTTGCAAGCAAACCCCATTTATATTCAGTATTTCAACAACTATAGTAATTGTTATATAACACCTACCGCTGAGAATGATGAGAATTGCTGAGAATCAAATGAACTATTTTCAATTTGATCAATTTTCTGGAAATTTACAATCATTCTATAATCAAACCAATATGCAATAATAAATTCGAATTTAAAGCAGTTCGAACATTTGGTTAAAAAATTGAAATATATAAAAATATTTATAACAATGTCTGAATTGTTATCAATTTAATTGTAAGTACTCAATGAAAACTAAATGTAGTTGAAAATATAAAATTGCATCTAAAATATTACAGTAGAAGCCATTCTTCAGGTTAAGCCTTAATCCTCTTCCTTTCCCCCGCAGGGGAATTTCGAAAAATCTCTTCTTAGTGTGCATTTTCATGACGTACCCTAACTGTGTACCAAATTTCACCTCTTTAGGTTCAGCGGTTTGCTCTGGGCGATATGAATCAATCAGTGACTCAGTCAATCAGTCAGGACAAGTAATTTTATATATTTAGATAAGCAAATACTCTGTCCATTATTATCAAAGAAAACAAATTTGTGAGGCCCCAGAAACAACCTCTCAAAATAGAAAGATATGTAAAAATTTATTAAGTTAAACCTCAAGATAATAAATTATATAAGTGTCGAGTCGGCAACACCAGATTTTGACATCAACACTCACAGAGAATAATGGGAAAAGCAAAATTTTGATTAAAGAAAATTTGAAAAGAGAATTTAAAATTTAAAACATTAAGATGCAGTTTAGAAAGCAAAACAAAACTAGAAAAGTATCAGAATGAGCGTGGGTGTCATAGTCATTGATTAAACACGATCAGAGCCTAAGGAAGGTGTCAAATATACCATCTCTAGCTGACCTAACCCGCGACCGACAGGGAGTTCCATTTACACTTGGAGACAGGTGGGAGACCAATTAGGAAAGGTGGAAGAAAAGTTCAACCAATTAGAGACAATTCAATCATGAAAAACTTTTAAAAACTCCAATGTAAAGGTCAGAGAGTGGCCTTCTCTAGTCTACCAGTAGTGTTCATTCACTCTCCACTTATCGTACGTCCATTCATCTTTTTTTGTGCTGAATCTCCCGATTATGAACATTGAAGTATCACCACCCTGGGGGCCTGTCAGCATTGGACCGGAATGAAAGGAAACAGACTTCTGAAGACAAGTCACAGAACTCTGAACCCCAGATTTTGATAATTCTATGTAAGCATATTCGTCCAAAAATAAACGGACTTCTTTGTGAAACACTTGTCTTTCCTGCCTCCTCAAAACTGCCAGCCACATATGAAAAGACCTTAAGTCATCCCAACAGTAGGGAATAAAAAACTCCCCCCCCCCAATCGGCATCCTTACAAATTAGTAAATTAGAATGAATGAATACAAATATATTAAATAATTCAAATACAGTGGTGCCTCGTATAACATACTTAATCTGTTCCAGGTGCATGTCCATTAAGTGAAAAGTCCGTTATACAAAACGCATTTTCCCATAGAAATACATGTTAAAACATAATTTATTCCACATAAAATAACCGTACTGTACCATAAAAAAAAAAAAATGAAAATGGAGTAGTCACCAATTATGCCGGGTAGTCAGATGTTGTGAGGAGGATGTGGAGGAACACTTTCTTCACACATTCATACAGATACAGACTTTTTACACATTGTAGCGGGTCTCTTTTTATTGTTTTTTAATCAGAGTCAGATTCAGGAGAGGCTACTGGAGATTGCAAGGCCAATTCCTCTTGTTCCATCCTTTGTTTTTTGGCAGCTGGCTTCTTGAAAAACATGTCCAAGATGATCTGTTTCTCTCTCTTCTTCAACACCTATCAGAAATGATGGGCAAGGGTGTCATTGTAGAGATCATACCCTGCACTGAGGTGATGTAGGTAATAAACAAGGGAGCAAGCCAAATCCCAACGGGAGCTCTGTAATTCAGATATACTAATAATATATTCTAATAATACTAATATATTATAAAAATAGCAGATTATCATTGGCAATGGCAAAAGAGTGGAAATATCATTCACACTTGTTTGCAGAAAGTCCATTGTTCGCCTCACGTAACTGCCGAACGGAAAGTCCATTGTTCACAGCAGTCCGTTGCTCGAGTCACGTAACAGCCAAACAGAAAGTCTGTTGTTTGCAGTGTCTATTATTCGAGGTGTACATTATATGAGGCACCACTGTACTTAAGAATTAATGTGATTAATTGTAAGCAGAATTACAGTACCATATATATTTACATATACATATATGTTTATATGTAAATATATATATATAATCTATGATATAAATTATTATCTAGAAAAATTAGTACTATTTCTTTCATTTTTATAGTGAGATAAATTTATAATTTAGTAATAGTAAATTTATTTATTTTCTCTTTGGTAAAATTAATTTTATTTGGTTAACTATATATTCAAATTTCAAAAATTACTTACTTCAATACTATTTACAAGATCAACATTATAAGGAGTGCAGATAAAATTTGTGACATGAGAATCTTTAGGACTTCCTAATCTTCCTGTTCGTCCAATTCGGTGTATATAATCTGACATGTGCAATGGAAAATCAAAATTGATGATATGCTTTACCTGAAATAAATTTGGTTCAGTAATTTGATAACAATGGTTATACTTTTAAGTTGTTTTTAACTTACCCGAATTGTATCCAATCCACGAGATGCAATGTCTGTGCAAGTAATCACATTGCATTCACCATTTTGAAATTTTCTAAATTGACCATCTCTTTCCTAAAAAATATTTAATATAAATGATTTTTAGAATTTCAAAATAATAACAATTATTTGAAGACATATAATAACCATAATTATATAAAAATTTTCTGATTTAAAATAAGATCTAATTAATACGTCTTTATAATTTTTTAAGGAATCTTTTATTATAATAAATAATGATGGACTCTTGGTATAGTGGTCCTAATACCTTAATCCAAAATATCTGCCAATCTAAAGATAAACATATCAATAGGCTGGGCATAAATTTAATAGAAATATTAATCGACTAAAAAATGTATATCCTAAACAGACACATGAAACCTGATTACTTTGCTGAATGCACTTGTATAGAACACAATGGAAAATCTACAATTGACTTTACTATATGTTCAGAATTTCTACTATACCATGGAATTTACTATAACAATCTTTCATGCATCTGATCATTTTCCTACAATGACAAAACTTTTATTGTTTTCACAGCAAAAAATAAATAAACCGAATAACAGATACCAAAGGATAAACTACAATGTTTCAAGATACTCAGCTGAAATTGAAAAACATTTCAATAATATCCTGGAAATAACTGATTTTAAAAGCAAAGAAATCTAAAAACTCATGCTACGTATAATGAATGACTATATATAAATAAAAAATAAACTAACTAATATGCAAAATAAATTTAAAAAACCATGGTATGACTCTGACAGTTACAACATGAAAAAGATAAAGCAAAACAATCTAAAACTATTCGGGAAAGATTCAAACGATTCAAACTTCACTAATTACAGGAAGGCTAAACAGACCTACAATAACTTACTCAAGGCCAAAACGAAAAAATATTTCGGAAATCTCGAATTAATCTTAGTCAATAACAGCAAGGATAGTAATTGTTTTGGTCTACAATACAAAAATTCCACTTCAACATAAATCTAGGTGAAAACATATCAGTAATAAATTTTGATACATGGAAAAATTTCTACCAGTGCTTTCCAAATATTCAATCAATTCCATCACTAATATCTAGTACTGATTCTTACAATGAATATTTAAACTCCAAATTTACAATTAAACAATTAAAAGATTCCATTAACAACACTCAGAGCAACTCAACCCCAGGCAGCAACCATATCCCAACTAAATTCTTAAAACTACTTCCTTACAAAGCAAGAATAAGACTACTAAATTTATTTAACTCAATGTATAATGCAATCTCATGAAACTCCATCTTACTTACTATGATATATAAAAAAATTGATAAACTATCTCCAAATAACTACAGACCAATAGCTTTACTTTCAACTCTGAGAAAACGTTTTACGTTAATATTAGAATTCAAATTTCAGCAATGGACTAAAGAAATGGAGTTTGAGGCTAAATTTCAGTATGCTTACATCAGAAATAAAGGAACATAATCTGCAGTTTTCTTCCTACTATTGCTAATACAATTACACGTAACTAAAAAACATAGAAAAGTATATGTCTCTTTCATAGATATTCAGAAAGCCTTCAATTCATTCTACATTCCCTTACTGGTACACAACTTAAAAGCTAGAAGAGCAGGCAAACAATTCTCATCAACAGTACTAAAATTGTTTTCAAAATATAATATAAAAATTAATTAATTAAACAGAGAAAAACATATCTCCTCCACTAGACCTATCACATGGCATACTTCAAGGAGACCCACTTTCACCTCATTTATTTAATTTTTATTTAATCGGAATATTTATCAAAAATCTACTGATGGTATTGAACAGAATCTTCTATTATATTCTATTTGCTGATGACCTGGTAATTTTAGCTCCAACTAAAGTCACCTTGCAAAGAAAAATTAATCAACTAAATTTATATTTTAAATTGATTCACTTAACAATAAATCCCACAAAAGCAAAAATTATCATATTTCCAAATAATAGTAAAATTTCAGAAAAAGAATCTAAAGATATACCTTGACAACTCTTCTCTAAAACAGTAAAAGAAATAAATTTTCTGGGAGTCATATTCGATTGAAACATTACCTTTAAAGCACATATTTCCAGGATAAATAACAAAGTGAAGCAGGCAATTGCTAATTTGTTGTTCATATGTTCAACTTTAAAAATGTCAAATTTGTACATACCCATGAAACTATGTAATTCAATAATTAATCCAATTATTTTTTATGCAAGTCCAATTTGGGGTCTAGACTATTTACATAAATAAGAATGTTTCCATATCTACTTACTCCATTTAGAAAGAACTGTTCCCAGTTATGCCATATGCCATGAAACTAATCACATCTGTGTGGTGTTTCGTTGCGACAAGTACAATGTCCCGCGAGCGGAAAAGCACGAAATAAATACACGTTGGATGTCTTTAACACAAAGATATTTATTGTCGCTTCGAACAGGTTCGTTTTTCTTCAGATCCCAACAATACAATAATCTCTGTACGTACATGCGTTAATTCGATCTAACAAACAGCGGATTAATTGAGAATTACGACTATACGCGAGGCAAAAAACTTATAACTAATTCTTACACTACCTACGACTAAAAAGGGAAGAAGAGATTAGAAAAATAATAAAGCATAAGAGGGAGATGGAAATACCCGGGATTTTTGAGTTCGAAACCTTGGGTGGGACACCACGTGGACCTTTCCGTGGAACGTTGTCTCTCGTCCTTCCTTTATATCGTTTCGTACGACTCTTTCGATGGCTTCCTCTAAAGTTCTGTTATAGGAGTTTCTTCCTATCGGTTCGCTGGCTCCTTGTAGCTTCCAATTGTTTCACACTCAATCTGAAGCTATACCACTTCTCCGTCCTTACTCTGCGTCTTCGAGCCCAGACCTCTTCTTTTAGCTTCGTAGTCTCCGATCGTCTTACAAGCGATCCGGAACACTACCTTCTCTCGTCAGTTCTCCTCGAGAGCTCGACCTCGACTCCTTTTCGTTTCTACTTTTTCGCCTTAGGGTCCCACTTCACCCTTTGTTTCATTCCCATTTCTTGGGATTGTTAATCCCACCCAAGGGAAAAAGGTTGGAAAGGAAAGTTCTAGAAAAGTAAGAAATAAAGGAACAAAGAAACTTAAAACTAACTAAAATTAATATTTTATACAATTTTATGGCCGACGGCCACANCCCCCGAGGGGGAGAGGAAATTGATTAAGGCTTAACCTGAAGAACGGCTTCTACTATACCATTTTAGATGTGATTTTTTGTTTTCAACTACGTTTAGTTTTCATTGAGTACTTAGGTGTATTAAATTGATAACATTTCAGACATTGTTATAAATATTTTTATATATTGTATACTGGCACAATGAAGTGACCATTTAACCAACACTTGGCAAGTTTTCCATTTTTATTTAGTTAGAGATGGAACTAAATAAAGATCTAAGCTAGAGATCAAACTAAATAAAGATGGAAAACTTGCCAAGTGTTGGTTAAACGGTCACTTCATCGTGCCAGTATACAATACATAAACAACAACACGGTTTCGATAACAACAAATATTTTTATATATTTCAATTTTTTAACCAAATGTTTGAATCTTTTTAAATTCAAATTTGTTATTGCATATTAGTTCAATTATAGAATGATTGTGAATTTCCAGAAAATTGATCAAATTGAAAATAGTTCATTTGATTCTCAGCAATTCTCATCAATCTCAGCAGTAGGTGTTATATAACAATTACTGTGGTTGTTGAAATACAGAATATAAATGGGGTTTGCTTGCAAAGCCACATGGGCGAAGTCGCGGGTAACAGCTAGTTTAAAATAAAGATAATTTGAGGTTCTAAAATTCTTAATCAACTTAATATTGATTTATTCTGCTAAATTTTATTATTTTACTAATTCTGTAACTTTCACTCAAATCTAATATTCTTACATAGAACATCATCCTTATCAAAATTTCTCATCAAAATAGTGATGATGTGTCACCCCTCTTCCCAACAAACTAGGAACTGATAACTTAAATTAAGAAAACTCAACCCAGATTAGTTTCATTTTGTGCAACTCAATCTGTATAAAAGTACTGATTGTAAATCTCACAACATTCAAGTGACAAAATGGGAATTGTAAAATTATATATACTAACTGCTCAGGCCTGACTGCAATTCCCAATAAAACTTCAGCCCTCACAATAATGTATTGATACAAAAAGGCAATATGAAATATATAAATTCAATATAATATTGACTATAACCTTAATATAAAATTTTTATTTTATTATTATGCACAAATAAACTATAAATTCATGAAAAACAAGATTTAGATTAAAAATAATATCAACATAATGTGAAAATCAAATTGAAAACCTGCAAAACCTGGAGACATCGGAAATCTATAAAGCCGACTTGGCTGGCAACTGTATTAACTCAAAGGATGCCAATAAGTTTCCTATGCATGGAGATACTGTTACGAAAAGAACGAACAACACTAGAATTTAGCAGCCTCTTTATACATTATTAGTTATATCTTATTAATTATTGTCTATGGTGTGGAGATATTTCTATTGCTTTGGTAAATGTTATCTATGCATGTGTAAATTGTTCCATGTTTTTAAAAAATAATTTTTAAATATGTTGTTCTAAGTTCCATGTTCAAATCTCACTGGTTATAAACCTGATGAAGACCTTCAGTCGAAGACATTAGTATTCATTAAAATTTTGCTGTTACTGTGTTATAAAGATTCTCAAGTGTAGATTTCCATTATGTAGACAAAAGTAGTTATTTTTTACATAAAAAAAACAAAAATTCTTAATTAATTACTGTACATTTTTAATAAATTTATTACAGAATACATATTATTTGAAATTCTGAAAATAAGTAAATATTTTACCTTTAATTCCATTTCTCCATTTAGACATATATTAGGTACATTTAAATCATTAAGAAAGAAACTCATCCAAACATTGGTGCATGTTTTGTTACAAAATATCATTACTGGATCATTCTTTCTCAAATCCTTTTTCACTAATTCTACAAGAGGACCTAAGACAAAAATAACACTATATTAACTTCTGATGTAGTAAAATCTAATTCATTCAAACATCTAATACTAATCATTTAATATTAAATTTCAATTAATCAATTTTAAATTCATATATATATTATATTTACAATTTTTACAATAGCATTTAAACTTTTCTTCAACTAATGCAACCATCTAAAAGATGATAGCATTAGTTGAAGAAGGCTTTGATTATAAATAATTAAATGTATAGTTAATTATTTATAAGAATGAATTATTTAATTATTAAAATTAAACAAATTCCCAAAACTAATCATTACAAAATAATAATGTATTTAATGAAAGAAAACCAATAAGATCCAATTTTCCTTGCACAGTAACAGTATCCAAATTTACCTGTTCGTTCAGATCCTTTAACTCTGATAAATTTTTGTGGAATATGTGGAATTAGTCTATGTAAATGATCTGTTTTCACACTTTCAATATATGACACATCAATAAATGTTGATAACACCTCATCAATATTTCTAGGGAATGTTGCACTACATAAAATTAGTTGGGCTCCTGTCATTTCTAATGGATGAGTAGGAACTGTGACTTGAATCTGATGGATAATATATACAATATATATTAAAGAGATATATTTATAATTTCTTAATAATAATATGATAATTTAACAATAGTATATTTACATTAACTTTTTTCAGGAAATTTTTCAGAGTGTAATTAAAACTATCATCCAATAAAGTGTCAGCTTCATCAATAACAATATGTCGTACATATGATAAATCATACACTCCTAAAATTAAAAAAATTATTTGAAAGTAAAAATTATATATATTATCTATAAAAGTTATATTAATAACTATTCATTACAGTACTTTTTAATTTATTTCTGTCTTAAAGGTCATTTTTATATTTTAAATAACTATCTTAATTATTAAATTAAGATAATCTTAGTTATGCACATGAATCCATTGCAAGTCAAATCCATCCATAATGGACTTAAATGAGGTAGGGCATGCAGTCCACAGTTTCCTAGTGTTTCATCTCAACAAATACAATCTTTGCAAAACTTGTACATTAGCCACGATTGAATTTGAATTTTTACTTAATTAACATTTGCAAAACATTTATTCATTTTACATTTATGCCTTAAATGTAAAATGAATAAACAATGTCTTGAATGTTGAATATATAGCAAATTTATGAATTTTTATAATGTAAAATTCAGAAATGTGACTAGTTATTAAACTTAGAACAGGCAATAAGTTCATCAAATAAAAATAATTCACACTAATTTAAAAATACAGCACAGTTAAATTTTAAATTAGTTTAAGTTAAATTATATATTAATTAATTAATAATAGAAAATCAAGAATTTTCAGGAACTTACTTCTATTAACCAATTTTTCAAAAATACCTATTGTTGAAACAATTATTTCACTATGAAAATCATCAGGCTTATTCTGAAAAAATATATATTTATTTTCAGCAATTTTTTCATAGTACAGTACATTACGCAGTAGCAGTCATGAAATCGTATCATTCATAAAACCTTATAAAAATGTATTTAATTTTTAAAATTAAAGTATCATTTTTTATATTTTCATTTAAATTAATACAAGTGAACAAGAAATAACTGTCCCAATATCAGATCCTTAAGTACAAGCAATAACAACAATGAATCAGTGCAAAAAAATAGAAAGAATAAATAATAAAAGTGAAGACATTACAAAAAATAAAAATTCAATATAAAATATAAAATCATTTGATAAAGAAATATTAAAAAACAATGCATTACTATAATAAAAAATTAAAAGCAAAAATATATATATAAATTTGTAATACATGTAATATTAATGACAACAACCCATAACCCAATTTAATTAATTAATTCCAAATGATCTGCTGAATTATCTGCCTACCTCTAGTCAAATTAATTAGTAATTAATCATTAAGATAGTCCAAAATAGCCTGATAATTCAGTAGATCATTTGGAGTTATATAATACATGTTAAAAGATATACAATAATTATAAAAATCAACAAACATATATTAAATCTTTACATGCCTTTTTAAAACAAGAAAGATCTGGATAAAAAGTAAAAAGGAGTATTAAGATATATTTAATTGGTATTTATAAGTAAAAAGACATGATTTGTTATGCATAGTATGACCAGAGATGTGAAGACCAAAATTATCAGGAGTTAACAAGCTATTAAAAAACTGAAATTAATTAGTTGAACAAATATGTATGTAATTTTTCATGAACACCAACTTGCAAGATGCCATAAAGATTTCATCGTCCACATCATCATATATATGAGAATGCTTTTCAATGGCTGACAGTTTACTGCAACATTGTTTCTGATGATTGCATCATCAATTGGTATAAAAACCTATGCAGAGGTAGTAAACTTTTATCAGCAAAATTTTTGATAGTTGGAAGTAAGCCTTAATAACACTGGAAAGCTGTTATTAAGGTTCAAAGTAGTCCTACAAAGTAAAGTGGGTGATTGGTTAACGAACATAATCCGTTGCAAGACTTTGTTCGTTATCCGAATTATTCATTAACCAATTATTGATTTACCATATGTTTTTATGGGAATTTGATTAATTCATTCTGGAGATTCCAAAAAATAAAAAATACATATCTTAATGTAGAAGGTATAGTTGCTGTATCTTCAGATTCTGTGTGTAGCGTCTTTGTAATCCAAACAATAATTTTGGTAGACAATCAAACAGCAATTAGTTAGAAAACGTTACAGTTTATTTAAAACACTTTTTTTTAATTCAGATGCATTAATTGCTGTTTGATCGTCTACCAAAATTATTGTTTGGATTGCAAAGACGCTACACACAGAAAAAATATATACTTTTTTACTATGTTTATTTATATGTAATAGTAAAAATACATATATATGCAATCTTGCATTTTTATTAATCATGTTTTTTCCCTTTGTGGGGGTTAAAGAATCTGTCCAATGTTGATTACTTTTCTCTTTTCTTCAGAATTTTTTGGAAGTAATTAATAGTATTGTAATTATAGAGATCCCCAACCCCATTAACCTTATTCTGGTTTGGATGCCACTTGGATGATCATTGTTCTGACATCCCTGGAGTTCTTCAGTCGTCAGATCAGTTTCAGGTTCCATTATGAGCTCTAAAATGCTCTTTATTTTTCAGATGTGATTTCATAACTCCATTAGCAGCTTGAGACTTCTTAATATATCTTTCATAGCTAAGATTGTGCCTACTGTAGACCTGTTCAAGCATACTGCATAGCAACATCAGACATCTTGTGCCCACTTTCTACCTTGGCTATTATCTCTTACTCAGTTTCTACAGTGAGCATAGTTCTTGACACTTCTCCTTTTAGACTCCATAATATTATCAGTTTCTTTTTTAAATAAAAAGTTCAGAAAAGCACTTACAAAAGTTCAGAGAACAGAAATCAACTAGCCCATAAAAAATTATTTAAATGCAAGGCTCGGATAAAATTCGAAATTTGGTATTAAAATGTTAATGAATATCCAATGGGACAGTTAAACTTTCACCTTTTGTAAATAAACCCTGATGCAAAACTTAACAAGTGCCCGTCCGACAGTGTCACGAAGACTATAAAAAGATTATTTGTCAGAAAGGTAAACAAAAAGCTGGAATTACAAGGGAAAGTTTCAAAATTCGGAGGGATACTATCCAATCAATATCAGGTTAAGTGTCAATGTTGATGTCTCTCGCACTCTGAAAGGTTTCGAAGTGTTACCTGAAGACAAGGGAATATCAATTGGTATTCGTTATTTTCTTCCATTTCTTTTTATGTTTGTTCAGTAAAGTGTTCGTTATCCGATTTGTTTGCTATACGAACTATTCATTAACCGATCACCCACTGTATTAGGATCCCAATCAACAAGAAATAACTTTTTGTTATGTTTTACTGACTAATTACACTGTAAATCTGTTTTTTTTTTTTTTGCTTTCATAACTCTGAACTGTAAATTCTTATGACAATGATGATTAATAATATTGATGAAGATATGTCATGAAAATAACAATTAAGTTTAACATAGCATTACAAGCAATAAATTGCATTTTTTTAAAATGTATTCTTGGTTTCTTTTCCATACTACATATTTCATCATTACAAATTGCAATAATAGATTAAATATACTACTTTGTACATCTATTGAAAGCTTTTTGGTATATTACTTGTATCATAGGTTATGCAATTTACATGCCCTCTACTATAAATTACAAAACTTTTTCTTTCAAAATACATTAATTTTATCATATACATAAAAAAGTTTGTATTTCTACAATTTATAAATATGTATAAAAATATTCATTTCATTTTCAAATAAATTAAATATTCTTTACATTTTAACTTTTTAAATCACATATGATTTATATTCAGAAAGCAATATTGCATCTTATTAACACTAAATAGCCATTAAATATTAAATCAAAAATCTATTCATGTTTTGTTAAAATTTATATATCTAATTCAATGTTCTGTATTATACTTGTATTATACTATACTATTCTTTTTTCATGCATTAAAGCAAAATAATTTAATGTAACAAAACTCTTCAGAATTTATTGACTTATACTAATTATTTTACTATAACATACCTAAGAGTTTAAAAAATTTTAATTAAAGAACCTCAGGATGAATGTATTCAATTTTAACAGAAAATTTTATTTTATTACTTTATAGAAATTTTATGAAGATCCTATTAACCTTTCAGCAAAGGGATAGTCAGGTATGGTGCTACCCCAAAGTACTGGAGAATAAACGTGGAAAATTTTTAAAGTATTTTTCCATGCGTTTTTTTTTCTCATTTCCGTTTCGGAAAAAGATTTTTTAAACAGTTATGTCTAGTAAAGAAAAATCTTTTTTTTATTGTTACATAATTCATTTTTTTGTGAATTTTTTTTCGCGGTAGTTTTTGCCGATACCCCCAAAAGAATTTAATGGATATATCCGTCTCTCACTTTTGAGTGGTTAATGATTTTTCTATTCAATTCATTCTGTTTTATATATTGATATAATACAGCAGTAATTATTTCAATAAAGTAAATCTGTATAATTTCAACATTTAATAAGATAAAACAAGAGAAATTAAATATTTTCAGAAAGATCATAAAAATGTTGGATATTCTAATACAAAGCTTAAATGTAGTACAGTGGAACCTTGCTTAACGAGCATAATTTCTTCCAGAATCTTACTCATAATGCAAAACACTTGTTAAATGAAACAGTTTTTCCCATATAAATGAACGTAAAATACGATAATGTATTCCGTGCCAAAAAAATATTCAAATATTTTACGTATAACATTTATTCAAAGACAATTATACAGTATACACTGTTAAGGAGCATGAATCATCTTCATCTTTTCTTCCAGCGTGGAATGAACCAACCTGGAATGAGAATTCAATTTGCAGAAAACAAAAAAAAAAAAAATCACAGATAATATGTCTGATAAACATGCCAAATGATATGCCAAATTTTTGGGCTATGTAAAGGCTAAAATTAAATATTAGAAATGAAATAATTTCACTAGAGATAGACAGTTATGCTGCCATCTTGTATTAAATTTAATAATTATAAATAATTAATTTTTTAATTTAGATATTTCTAAAATTTAAGTTGGAATTNAAATTTAATAACACTTTTGAATTTATTCGGATTGTCAGATTAGTTGTTTAAAGATATATACAAGATTGAAAATATGGTTACACTGTTGTTAGACTCTGCAATTTCACATCTATAAATAAAAACCAAGTTAACCTAAGCCAAAGTAATTATCACCCTTGGTACATAAATATATTAAATATATCTTCATCTCAACCATATATTACTAAATCAGTAAATATCAATGTGAAAAGAGTAATAGCTCAATTATGACTCAACAAATATTCACTTTTTATTGGTAACACATATATTAACATTTTAAACACTGAGTGCATTTGTTGACGATTTGAAGATTTTTCAATGTTTCATTTATTGCAGAATTGTCAAAACTTGTAACCATGCATGACTCATGTGATATTTCGCAAATATTCCAGTGTTGTTCACCTTCCGATTTTAAAAATCGGACAACCTTAACAAAAAAGATCTTTATAAACTGTATAACTATAAATCACCAAACGATCGCCTAAATATCGGGCTATAATAAGGCTAATTAAATGATTGGTATAAAGTAATTTGACATTTTAATTTTTTACATTACTGATATTAACACTAAAAAATAAAAAACTTTCTATAAAAAATTACTACTGTAAATCTAAATATATAAAATTACTTGTCCTGACTGACTGAGTGATTGACTGATTGATTCATCATTATCCCAGAGCAAACCGCTGAACCTAAAGAGGTGAAATTTTGTACACAGTTAGGGTACATCATAAAAATGCACACTAAGAAAAGATTTTTCAAAATTCCCCTGACGGGAGGAGAGGA